CTCGTCTTATTGTACTCATATTTAAAACAAGGATACATGGCAGAAAGAAAACTGAAAGGAAAGACTAGTGAATGGGACTGATTAATATCTTTATATTCATCCAATCATCTCATTTCATTCTTTTAATGGAATCTTTTAGAAATCTGGTAGCCTGTACTACACTCAATTATTTGGTTAAGTCATTTATTTTGATTTATCTGAAAATTATTCAAATACTTGTTGTTTAGTTTCCTTACCAAAAACAATTGATCTAAAAAATTCATAAGAAAATTTACAGCAGTAAAAGATGGTAAATGAATTCCAAAGGCAAGTTATGAAAGGCTATAAGAATTAGAAAAGATATGAAATGATAGCTATGTGAACCTACTTTCTATAGTAATCATTTTACTACCTAAAGGTTTCTGGTAACATCATACATATATATTAAATATACATAATGAAATTTATTTAAAAAATTAATCTGAAATTTTTTTCTAAATTTGCATTAACAGGGAACATTGATGTGATTTTCAGAGACATTTAGTTTCCATTAATAGTCTTAATGAATGTAATAATGTAAAAATATACAGTTTCAAATTTAGAGCAGGTAATATTTTCAGGTATTATGTTCCAATAAATTAAAAACTATATAAGAAATGGATAAATTTCTAGACACGTGTGATTCACCAAAACTCACCAAAGAGAACAAAGAGGATATAGAAAACCTAAAGAGACCAATAAAAATGATGGATTTATTAGCTGAATTTTACTAGTTGATTAAAGAATTAATTTCAAGTCTCCTTAAATTAGTCCATGAAATTGAGAGAAAAGGAATGCTTCCAAAAACATTCTAGGAAGCCTGTATCACCCTGATTAAAAAACTGAATAAGAACACTTTAAGAAAACTATAAACGAACATATTTGATGAATATAGATGCAAAAATCGTCAATAAAATATTAGAAAAGAGAAAGAGACTTCCCCAACACATTTATTATGGTTTAGATGTGGGGTGTCTGACCTAACTTGTATGAGACAATGCAAGAAAAGATTAGAGGTGGGAAATTGGGTTATAAGAGCCTTAATTTCATTCATTAGTCCATTAATCAACTAATAGTAATTAACTGGGTGGTAACTGTAGGCAGGTAGGGTGTATCTGGAACAGGCAGGCCATTGGGCGCATGCCTTTAGGGTATATACTTTGTCTCTGGTGAGCAGAGCTTAGTCTTTCTCTGCTTTCTTGTGGTCAGGTCCCGACTGCTTTCCCCTACCATGCAGAGCAGCCATTAGCCATCTATGGATTGAGACCTCTGAAACTGTATTAAAGAAACTTCTACTCCTCTAAAATTGTTCTTGTCAGGTCTTTTGGTTACAGCAGCGAAAAAGCTTACTAAACCAACATTAAAAAATATCATACACCATAATCAAGTTGACTGCAACCCAGAGGTGCAATACAATGCTGGCTCAATGTAAGCAAATCAATAAATGCCATACTCCACACAAATAGAAACAAGGACAAAAAAAGAAAGAAAAAGAAAAAAAAAACAGGATAATCTCAATAGATTGACAAAATATATCCACTATTTATGGTAAAAACCTTGAAGAAAGTAGGGATAGAAGAAACTTGCCTGAATACAATAAAGGCTATGCATAACAAACACAAAGTCAACATCATATTAAATGGGGAAAAATGTAAACTATTTTCTCTAAAATTGGGAACAAGTTAAGAATAGCCACTCTCACATTCCTATTCAATAAAGGAGTTGAAATTTTAGAAAACTTACTCAAGATAAAGAAATAAAAGGAATATAGATAGGAAAGGAAGAAGTCAAATCATGTCTAGTTGCTGGTTATTGATTCTGTAGTTAGAAGACTAAAAGTTTTACCAAAAGTTTCCAGGATATTACTAACACTTTCATCTTTGCTCTGTCATGGTTCCATCTAGGAGCACCCTAGATAATGAGGTGGGAAGATGACATATTGAAGATGGAAATCCTTCTCCTGGGATTCAGTGACCATCCAGAACTTCTGAGTCTTCTTTTTGCTGTGTTCTTTTCCACCTACTATGTACCCTGATGGGGGATCTTGGAATGATTTTACTAATCACCACCAGTTCCCACTTGCCTGTCCCAATGTACCTTTTCATCTGCATACTGTTCTTTATTGGTGCATGTTACTCTTCTATCATTGCCCTTGAATTACTGTGGGCTTGATTTCTGATATGAAAACCATTTGTTTCACTAGCTATACTGCAGAGTTATAATTTTTCTGTTCAATCCTTCTTCTTGGCCACGTGGCTTATGACAGGTACATAGCAATCGGCAACCCACTGCTTAATACTATTATTATCTCCAAGAGGTCTGTTGCAAGATTGTGCTCAGAGCACTTTGTTGGTGTGTGGGGGATTCAATTCTGACACTGGCATGTTTGACATCATTCTTGTGGTCTTTGCTAGCTTGGTAGAGGCAGTCTGTTTTCTAACAGTTCTCCTCTCCTGTTCCTGCATTTTGGCAGCCATCCTTAGAACAGATTCCGCAGAGGCCAGAAGGAAAGGCTTCTCCTCCTGTACTTCCCACCTAATAGTGGCCACTCTCTACCATGGCTCCCTGATCTTCATTTATTTGTGGCCCAGGACAGGTCATTCACTGGATATTAACAAAGTGGCCTTTGTGTTTTATAAGTTGATTATCCCTATGCTGAAGCCCTTAATATAAAACCTAAGGAACAAAGATGCAAATAATTCCTATAAAAATAATCATTAAGATTACTCTCCTTTGATAAAAGGAATCAGTCTTATAATTTTCAAACATACCTATTCTTTGACATTTTTTTCTGTCTGTTGCAAATGTCAATTTAATAAGGATATTTCTCTAATCTGTGGATAATGAAAGTTCCACAAAAGAAAAGGCCAGAGCCCAACAGTGGAGCTAGACTCTCATTTTATTTATATCATCAATATCTGTTATTTTGCAGTTGAAATTTTTAATATTTATTTCAGGTGAAGATTTACCTTTTCTTACACTCTTGTGTCTATTATTCTAACACATTTTCTGTTTTACTATTTAACTTTTTTCACAATTTCTATCAAAAATAAAAAAGTCACTGAAACAAAAATGAAGCTCCTTTTGTGAAAGACAATTAATGACAGTAACAAAGATTATTTGCCAATTAATTTTGATTTTAATGTAAATATGTGTTTACCTATCCAAATTTCACTCATTCTAAAAAGACTCATTATATATTGTTGTCAAAATTTTATTCTGAATCCTCCTTTACAATCACAGGGTAGTTTGTACTCTAAATCATATAAGAATCATAGGTGTACTTCTTTAAGTACTCTATTCTCATTATTTTGAGTCTTAAAGTTATTTATGTCTGTGTTCTATTTTCCTACAAAATTATTTATTAATTTTGATTCATTGCTTTTTATCTTTTGCATTTGTATCACAGTGTCTTCCCAGTGAATATTCTGAGTAAATTTTATGAAATATATACAGGTTTACTATTGATTGTTTTCAGTTCTTATCATATATATCTGACTTGCAAAAAATAGTTATTTCTTTTACAATATTTTTGGTTTATTCTCCACAGTGGTACCATATATGCTTGGATACCCATTACAAGTTATTATCAAGTAGGATGTCTAAAAAGTAGGTAAATTTTTAGCAAATTTCTGTATATAGAATATGATAAAGTCTGGTTCTTAGACTGTTTCCTCAAAAGTCTAATGGGTCTGAAATTTCTTGATCTATGAAGTACAAAGAAAAAGTTTCTGAGGGATGCTCTACTGTTAGGGTCAGGACTGGGAACTGAAGCCTGGAACTGGTGGTTTATGGCTTAGTTGACTACTGGAAATGACCTTTATAGAAAGTGTGAATGAAAATTCAAGAAAAAAAGTTAAATCTGAAGATGAGGTTAAATAATTAGAAAGTGGATAAGCTAAGAGGAAGACTTTGTGACAGGGGAAATGTATGGTGGATTGTAACTTACGGCCACAGTTTTACTCACTACAGTGAGATGCATTTTTGTAAAAAATAATTTATCCATAAAGATCAGTAAGACTATGGCATTTTGAGACTGAAGATAACTAAGCACTTCAACCTGAGTCCTTAGCAGTAAATATTCTTTGAAATGCATGGATGTGTCACAGTAAATGGCTATTGATTCTTCATAGCTGCCATTTCAGCAACAGCCTTTAGGATCAGCCCCACGGGGTATAACATAGAATGAATTGCTCTGGGATTAATTATCTAAATTTCTTGGAAATGTGGAGTCTGGGACTGGATTCCTTAATGCAGTTTTAGGCCCCTGATCTAAGCAGGATAGAAATGTGCTTGGCAGATGGTCAGCAGAGGTAGCCATGGACAGCCTCTACTCAGCTTTAGCCAGGAGCAAAGGCAGAGTTAAGAAAAATAGGTCATGAGGAGGATACTGAGAGAGCTGCACACATGATGGAAACAAGACTCTGAAGCCGGATTCTGACCAGCTAAGGGAGCAGGCTCTATCCAGCACAGGAGACAGACCCTAGAGAACATCTCATGACGTGGTTCTATCAGCAACACCATCCTTTCTTGGAGCACTAGAAGATCAGTTCCTGAGCACTACTCAGTAGACTGTTAGAGACTGTCTAGAACGATATCCTATGTATGTCTACTACTATCTTTACATATGTAACTGATAAATATGAATATACAGATGCAATCATAGAATGTGTATATAAAACCCCTGTTTAACAGATGAAAAATCTAAGACCTGAAAGTAGACACATAACCACGAAGTAATGAGAGCACAAAGATCGGAAACCAATACCTGGCTCACTTTAAGGTCCAAATTTTATTCTTAAATTCTCTCGTGTTTTTATCATTTTTAACAATTAAAACAAAACAAAAAATTCAAAAAATAAGGACTATTATATCTCTGTCTTTAAAAGAAAAGCTGACAAAAAATATATGAGAAACATGTAGCAAAAGGAATTCACAATGTGTTTGCTTTTTATACATGCCAATATATTTAATATGTTTTCAAAAAATTACATTGAGTTGGGAAACTGAGCAACGATTGAGAGTTCCTGATAAGTAATATATTCCATAAAAAATAAGTGTGCTATCTGAGATTATAGAGACAAGCAGATATTTAAAAGATAGGACATTATTTTTTGTTTATTTTAAATTATTCAGCCAGTAATACTAGACATACATCCTGAGAAAATTACATATTTTTTATAAATTGGTCCACTCCTATAAATTTTAAAGTAATAGTTTTAGCACATCTTATAAGCAAAATGATGTATAAAAGTAGGGAAGAGAATTTGAATGAAAAACTTGCATAAACTCAATCTTCCTTTTATAACAACAACCTGAAATAAGACAAATACTCTTCAAAGCTTGACATTCTGTGATATTTTCAATCACCAGATTAACCAATGGGTGATAACATTTAGAACAACATTTGCTACCAATTAATTTAACTCTTAGAATATTTATAGTATTTTCTGATATTCAACCACTCTTAAATGACAATTATTAACATTGTTTATAATAGAGTTTATTTTAAAGACACAGAAAGAATCAATATAAATCATTTAAAGGAAATAATAACGTAAATGCTACGTTGTTTTTTTTTTTTTCCCCCAGAGAGCCTATATTTAATTCTTCTTCCTTACAACTTAAACTGTACCAATTGGTCATTACCATCGTGATAATTTTAACTAACAATAATATATTATAAAATGCTATGAACCCACTGAGACAGAAGGAGACTCCCTTTCCAGATGCATTGGAGAAGGTCCTGGTCTTAAATCTCTGGCTTCCAGCTGTGCATCACCACATCTGTCCTCTAGTCTGAGGGCAAAAAGGGATGTCCACTCCTATGCCCAGACTTCAAGGGGAAAAAAAGGCTGGAGTTTCTGGTGCAGGGGTTATTACTGCTAATTGAGGCAGGCTGAAGAAGTGTGGATGTGAAGTAAAAAGTTCTGTACATTAAATGCCCTCTTTTGCTGATAATTTCCTTCAATTTAAGCAGAAGGCAAGAGGTGTGGAGAGATTTGCTCTAAAACAATATAGTTCATGAAAAGTGAGGAAGGGAGAACCTTTAAATTTACAAATACTCCTTTTTGCAGCATTTATTTTGCAGGAGACACTGCTTGGTTCATTCAGTAACTGTTTTCAAATGGCTCTCTGGAGCCAAAGATCCCAAACAACAGAACCAAAAATAATGGGAAAGGAACCAGACAAGAACAGTGCCTTAATAAACTGTGTCTAATATGCTCCCTCTTTTTCACTCTTAAGTATTTATTTACTATTTAGTTATTCTAAGTGTTATGATGGAAAGTTATAGAAACACATTAATGCTGAGGAAGGAAAAAACAAAGACTGGGTTTTACTCTCTGAATTTTCTTCCAGTGTGTCAGTTGTGTCCACTAAACCCATATTTGAAGTTGAAAGCTTAAGGAGAGTGTGTTGAATTAGCAAGGCATCTTTCTGGCTCAAACATCAACAGGGTGGGAGACATAAAGGACCCTTTCTGCAAACACCTCAGTGATGTTCTTTTGCTCTTCACTTAAAACAGGAAGACCAATAATTACAGCTACTTAATCTCAATTTCGTCACAATAGAAACTATTGGAAAATATTTCAAAAGTTGTATCAATAAGAACCTATGCATTTATGTTTTATTCTCAAAATCTGTTGATGTTTTCTGGGTGTGAAACATGAATTCACCCAGAACACAAGTTAGTGTTGATAGCTTTGCTCAGAGCACCCTTTACATCCTTATTTCTTAAGCTGTAGATCAGAGGGGTCAACATGGGGATAACAACTGTGTAGAAAACAGAGGCCATTTTATCTGTGTCCATTGAGTAACTCGAGCTGGGTCGAAAATACATGAACAGGAGTGTGCCATGAAATATGGCCACAGCTGTAAGGTGAGAGGCGCATGTGGAGAAGGCTTTGCGTCTGCCCTCAGCTGAGTTCATCCTAAAGATAGTCATGATGATGTAGCTGTAGGAGAGGAGGACAGTGACAATGCTGAGTCCAACAACACAGCCAATGAAGGTGAACATCACTATCTCGTTGATGGAGGTATCTGAGCAAGAGAGGGCTAGCAAAGGTGGGTTGTCACAGAAAAAGTGATTGATGACATTTGAATTGCAGAAGGACAATCGAAATGTCAAGCAAATGTGGATTGCTGAGTCTACCAAGCCTACAAGGTAGGCAACTGCCACTAGCTGGGTACAGATCCTCCTGGACATTGCGATTGTATAAAGAAGTGGATTGCAGATGGCAACATATCAATCATAGGCCATGACAGCCAACATGAGACATTCCACATCTGCAAAGGCACCAAAAAATACATTTGGATGGCACATAAATCATGTGTAATTTCCTTTTGCTCAGATAAGAAATCAGCCAGCATCTTTGGAGAGACAGTGGAAGAATAGCAGATGTCACAGAAAGACAGATTGCTCAGGAAAAAATACATGGGTGTGTGAAGTCTGGGGTTTACCTTGATCAGCAAGATCATCCCTAGATTGGCAATCAAGGTTATGCCATAAACAAGGAAGAAGAACACAAAGAGCCCCTTTTGCACATCCTGT